CAACTGGTCATCCAGTGTCAGCCGTGGGTCCAGGAGGACCCCCAAGTTGCGAACCCTCTCCGAGGGGGCCAAGGTTTCGCCCCCTATAGTCAGCGATGGAATCAGCTGACCATACCTGGGAGCCGGCAACCACAACCACTCAGTCTTGGAAGGGTTGAGCCTGAGTCTGTTTCTCCCCATCCAGACCCGTACGGCCTCCTTGAGGTTTGACAAACACATCAGGAAGTCTACAGCATTTGGACTTTGAAATATAAAGTGCAAAAGTAAAATTTTCTTTCCATGTCTTATTTTTGAGGAGAGAAGCTTACCCCAAAATTATCTTGATTCTTATTCTTTTAGCCACTCAAGCTTTAGTGTAATGTCTACAAATGCATCAAATAGGTAAATAGCTCTATAAGTTCTATAAATAAATAAATAAAACATGGTTACCGATTTTTAAACTCTGTGCCATTGGGCCATTTCCAATGCTGGTTATCTTTTCTTGAGAGTCCAAACCAGAAATGAAAGAGTCCTAAATTATCCACAAAAATATCCTAGGAAAAAGGAAATAATATTTAATAAAATACTCATTTAACATATTAATTGAGGAAAGAAAGTGTCTGTTATTTTTTACCATCTACTGAATGCTAAAATACACAATTTGTGTCAACTTATTTCATTTGTACAAGATCATAATCGACTAAGATAAAGTTAATGCATATGTAACTGCCTTGTCAGAACTATTTCAGATATAGTGGGCTTGTCCATTATTTTGGGGAGATAGCTGCATAAAAAATGGGTCTGTTGCATCCAAAGTCCACTAAATGGAAGAATATTAAATCAAGCTTTTTACTGCAATGATATAAACATATCTGTATTTAAATTTAAAGTGCATCACACAGGATTATATTAGTTTTCTTAGTCATAGTGATAACCCTCCTTAATTATTTATTAATATTAATAACTCATCAAGATAATAAATTGTTTTCTGGAAGCTTTATGCAGACAATGTATTTATTTGGTTATGTTCCATTAAGTTGATGTTGACTCTTACTGATCATTTAGATCAACTTTCTCTGCATGCTCTTATAATAAAAGTTTGCAGACTAGTAATTGGTAGGGCAGCTGTGAAAGCTTTGGAAAAAATAAATGAAGATGCTTTGACATGCCTAAGCTTACAAAGATCAGAACTGTTTAGTCAATGGTTTTCTCTGTAACACTCTGTGAAAGTTTGGTTTTGAAGAAACAGGATAGAAAAACATTGAAGCTTTTAAAGAAGAGTCCTGTTAATAATGTCAAGTGCAAAAAAAAAGGTCCAGACATGAAAGTTCAAAATCACTGATTTATAGCTCAAGCCTACTGTATGCCCAGGAATTTTCTCAGCAGCTGGTTGAAGCTAGATACATTTTAATGGCATTCAAGGGAGATTGCGCTTAGACCTTTTCTGATAGCATAGAGACTCCACAGAGACCCCAAACTAATTCCTTGTTTGACTCCTCCCCCTGGCTCTGCCAATCTTTCTCCTATAAGTACCATAGATATTTCAAGAAATATGTCATAGAACAAATCGACTCTTAGTTCTTAATTGAGGTGCAAATGACTAGACTGAAATTACAATATTTTGGATTCCACCTGGGTGATTCCAGTCATTAGATAAATAGCTGGAATAGTAGACTGGACTCAAGCAGAACAAAAGCCCTAGATCGGAAGACCAGAAAAATAATGACAATGAATCATGCCCCTCATCCATGCAGTGATGTTGACCGACTCTACTTATCAAGGAAAATAGCTGGGCATGGAATGTCACAAAAACATCAGATGTTTGAAGAAGAAAAAAGGGCATGTATGAGCCATGGTGGCATAGTGGTTAGAATGCAGTATTGCAGGCTAACTCTGCCCACAGCCAGGAGTTTGATCTTGAGCAGCTCAAGGTTTACTTAATCATCCATCTTTCCAGGTTGGTAAAATGAGGACCCAGATTGTTAGGGGCAGGGCTTTTTTTCTCATAGAACGCCCAGAACAGAGTTCTGGCACCTTTTTTGGATGGAACCTTGTAGGGTAGGCAAGGCGGGTTGTATGACGTGTGTGAGTTCCAGCACCTTTTCTTTTCTTTTTTTTTTAGAAAAAAAGCACTGGTTAGGCCAGGGGCAATATGCTGACTCAGTATACTGCTCAGAGAGTGCTGTAAAGCACTATGGAGCGGTATATAAATCTAAGTACTATTGCTATTGCATTGGAAGAATATCTGAAGGACAGTGAGGAAGATGCACTGAAGCTTGCATACCAGAAAGACCTACTGAGTACTGGAGAGACCAAACTGGCCTACTAATACAATCAAGGCCAGAAATAATGATTGAATTAATTCAATCAAGGCTAGATTTGAAAAATCGTCAAGTAATTCAAAGCATAGATTAATGTAAAGAGGCAGAAGTATCAGTGAGTGATGTGGCGATACCAGGAGATAGTAGAAGACAAAGAACTGGAGATGATTAGAAAATATCAAGATTTGAAAATTGAAATTGAAGGATTATGGCATGAACTGATCAATAATGGTCTCAGTGGTTCCATACCCAAAAAATCCTTAGATGTGTGCACTGACATTTTCATCTGTCAATTACAAAAGGCCACACTGCTTGGATCTCTCTATATATATACTACATGACTTTCTGAGATTCTTGGTAAGAATTTGGTACATATGAAGGCCAACACCCAACTTAAAAAACTGGCAGCTATGGCTTTGCATTGTTGTGAATAGAAAATAATAACAACAATAAAAAATTGGGACCATAAAATTGAGAAAGTAACAGAAAATGAAGAAGTTAAATTGCTCTGGGACTTTAGAATTCAAATAGATAAGACACCTGCCATATAACACCCCAAATTTAATAACTGGATAGTGGATGTTGCAGTACCTGGAGACAGCATAATAGAAGAGAAAGAAATGGAGAAAATCACAGAATATAAAGAATTTCAAATAGAAGTAGAATGGCAGTGGAAAAAAATAAAGCAAAGTTAGGTACTCATAGGTACCTTTGATGCATCAAGGTACCTTTGGATAATTCTCATAGGTACCTTTGATACTCATAGGTACCTTTGATGCAATCCCAAAACAATTGGAGCACCATTTAGCACCATCGGCATTAATAAAATCGCCACAACTAAATTGCAAAAGGCAGTTTTACTTGGAACAGCTTACAGCCTGCAACAATACCTTTAACACCATAAAACATCAACATCTGCCTATCCCTTGTCTCTCAGAAGGACTGGATAGGTGGACAAAAATGCCAAATACAATCTAAACATTTTGATGACTAAATCAAGCCAATAATGATAAATAACTATGACTCATTGACATTGTTTTTTAAGAGAAAGTGAAGTGAAAAAATGAACATTAAAGTTTAGGTTGATCATTTTTGTTTTTAATCTCAATGATGGATGGTCATCATCTAAGCAGAGTTCACATGTCATAAATAGAAAAATAATTGTAGTGAAAAATGAACTTCAATAATAAGTCAACATTTATGTAGTTAAACAGATTAATCAGAATGACCATGGTGGGCAAAAAAGCAGTGGTAATGGGAGAGACTTCCAACTTCCTGCTGGCTTCCCCATTGACTTTGCTTGTGAGGAGCTGGCAGGGAAGCATTGGAAACCACAATCACACAACCACGAAAATGCTGCAAAGAAGAGAAGTTAGTGAAGAAAACCAGTCTGGACACTGGAAGATTTCACAGAGGTAATGGGTAATGGGTCCCAAATTTTGTTACATATTCTCTAAGAGGTACCTTGATTCAAAGTTTGTTCCAGTTTAATACACTTTTTGGGCTGATGTAGTATACAAACAGCTAAACTGTTTATTGTTTTAGTATTTGTGAATGCCAAGACAATTAGCGTATTTTATGTACCTTGATTCAAAAATTGTTCCATTTGAGCTGACATGGGGAGACAAATTCAATGAGAATTTAGTAGTATATAGGTAATAATAAATATAATTTATAGATGGTACCTCGCTCAATAATAGTAACTATGAGAGGGATCTTGGAGTCCTAGTGGACAATCACTTAAATATGAGCCAGCAGTGTGCTGCAGCTGCCAAAAAAGCCAACACAGTGCTAGGCTGCATTAACAGAGGGATAGAATCAAGATCACGTGAAGTATTAATACCACTTTACAATGCCTTGGTTAGGCCACACTTGGAATACTGCATCCAGTTTTGGTCATCACGATGTAAAAAAGATGTTGAGACTCTAGAAAGAGTACAGAGAAGAACAACAAAGATGATTAGGGGACCGGAGGCTAAAACATAAAGAATGGTTGCTGGAATTGGGTATGTCTAGTTTAATGAAGAGAAGGACGAGGGGGGACATGATAGCAGTGTTCCAATATCTCAGGGGCTGCCACAAAGAAGAGGGAGTCAAGCTATTCTCCAAAGCGCCTGAAGGCAGGACAAGAAGCAACGGATGTAAACTAATCAAGGAGAGAAGCAACCTAGAACTAAGAAATTTCCTGATAATTAGAACAATTAACCAGTGGAACAACCTGCCTCCAGAAGTTGTGAATGTTCCAACACTGGAAGTTTTTAAGAAGAGACCGGACAACCATTTGTCTGAAATGGTATAGGGTTTTCTGCCTGAGCAGGGGGTTGGACTAGAAGACCTCCAAGGTTCCTTCCAACTCTGTAATTGTAATTGTACTTGTACTTGTACTTGTAATTATATTGTGTTGTGTTGTACTGTATTGTATAATTAATATGTTTACTTTTTCTATTTGTAAATGCCAGGACAATTATCCAATTAATCATGGTGCCTACTTATTCCTTACCAATTCCTTCTGAGTATCAATCACAGCCAAGGATGCATTAAATGAGGAACAGGTCTTTAAACTCATAGACCAAGTTCTTTTTTCTTTGGATACATAGAAATATTTTCCTCTGTATGTAATCCATGAATCTGGGCAGGCCACACTTTCACATGAAACACCAATCGGACATGATTTTGTTTCTTTAACTGAAAAGAAAACAAAATGGGCAAGTCTTAGAGCTCATAATTAACTACAGTTCAACCACAAAGTTTGAATAATTAGTATTAAGCTAATGTGTTTAAATTGTACATTCTAGGATATTTTTTAAGAAAACCAAGTGAGTTAAATTGTAAGTCCTCACTTACTAATCAGGATTGGGATTAGTTAACAGTTATATAGTTATTCCATCACCAGATGGGCACAATCTTTGTTCGAAGGGGATTTTTTTTCGTATCTTCCTTCAATAATTTAGTGACTGCCTCAGAGTCCGATCAGTTATGACATTGCTGCAAGAAATATAAATCCTTCCATTCCCCACCATCCAGTCAGAGCTGAAGAAGCTTCTTAGATGAGAAATGAAATCTCTTCAAAGAAATACAAGGAAATCCAGTTGCCTCCTGAAAAAGCACCTTTGGGTTTCCTTCCTGGAGCATTTGTGAGAGTGTCAAAAAAGATGGCAATCACAGCAGTGCAATAAAATTCTTCTCTTTGTGGGTATGCAGAAAACATTTGACCCACCTACAAAAATCCTAGCTTTAATTGCACTGCCGCAAGCATTATTTTTACTGATTTGACAAACATACATTCAGTTGCTGCTACTTCCTTCCAAATCATTCTGTGGTTTACATGTAATTATTCATACATGTGGTAATCTTGATGTAAACAATAACAACAACTATGGACAAATAGAAATTTCTCATTACTTACCAGCCAATGAAATTATAATGATAATCAAAACAACGACCAGAACAATAGCTCCTATAATGAATTTTTTGTCTGAAATGCACTTAGGTACGAGAGCTGAAAAACAGACAGGAAAATATCAAGAAAGCAAAAACAAACTTTGGTTGCCAAATTAATGCAAAAAGGAAATACCCACAAACAAGACAATAAAACAAGAGAGGGCATGTCTGAATGTAAATACAAGACTAAATCTAATGTTCCTTGTGCTACTGAGGAATCCTTGCTAGAGGCAGTAGCAGATATTCATCACTTTGTTCAGCTAATCCACGGTGATGTTTGTAGGCCCCAGCTCAGCCTTAAAGACCCTCCTTAAGAGAGTGTCTATGGAGATTCTCAGTCATCCAGGTCAGGTCATGAAAACATTCTGCAGCCAGAAGGCTCTACACACATTTGGACTAATCAGGTGACCTAGGACACAGAAAACCTCCAAATGGCCCCAACAACTCTCTGAAAGAATGCAAATGACCAGCTGTCTGCAAGGAATATAAATCCTTCCATTTCCCACCATCTGGTCAGAGCTGAAGAAGCTTCTTGGATGAGAAGCCAAAGGTCTTCAAAGAAAAAAATAACGAAGTCCAGTTGCCTCCTGATAAACCGCATTTGGGGCTCCTTCAAAGAGGTTTCCCAGCAAAGGTGGCATCCTTGCAATTCTTGCAAGCAAGTAACATACTTGGAATTAAGTATACCTATATTTTGCCTTGCTAAAAGTTAGCATAAATGTGCCTTTCTCTGTTTTTTTTTGGGTACTTTTTTCTGGCACATTTATGCTAACTTTTAGCAAGGCAAAATATAGGTACACTTAATTCCAAGTATGTTACTTGCTTACATACCTTTTACAAAGCAATTCTAAAGAAACAGAAACCTCAGCTGTACAACAATACAACTTGTTATGGGAAACAACTGAGGAGGAGGAAAGGAAGGAAGAAGTACAGGCACTTGAAGGAACATTTAGAAGAGTAACCACATTATAGAGAAAAGCACAGTGAAAAATAGACCATGCCATCCCAGCCTCCTCATCTTCTCCAACAGCATTACAGCAATTAACCATATCTTGTTTTTTGAGACAAACCAACATGGCTGCACAAAGATCTCTCTGACAAACTGAAAAACAAAAAGAAAAAAAAATACAAAAAATGCAAAGAGGGGCACATAACTAAGGCTGATTATCAGCAGACAGCCAGAACAGGCAAAGACAAAGTCAGGAAAGCAAAGGCTCAGAACGAACAGACTTACAACAGAAATCAAGGATAATAATAAAAAAAGTTTCTTCCAACATATTAACAAGAAAAAAGTCAAGGAAACTATACAGTAGGTCCACTAAAGAGAGAAGATGGTAAGGAAATAACAGGCAACAGGGAGAAAGCAGAACTGCTTAACTCATACTTTGCATCAGTCTTCACACAAAAAGAAACTATAGCCCAAAATACCAAAAAAAACCAAAAACCCAGAAAACCACTGCAAAATACAAACTAGAAACAAAAATTAAAATAAGCAAGAGAATGGTAAGAGAATACCTATCCGACCTCGATGAATATAAATCACTGGGACCTGATAAATTACATCCCAGAGTTCTGAGGGAGCTGGCAGATGTTATCTCAGAACCATTGCACCACATCTTTCATAAATCCTGACGCACCAGGGAAGTACCTGAGGATTGGAAAAGGACTGATGTGGTTCCTATCTTCAAGAAAGGGGAGGGGGAACCAGACCCAGTACTCTTCAATATCTTCATTAATGACCTAGATGAGGGAATAGAAGGGGGACTCATCAAATTTGCAGATGACACTAAACTGGCAGGAATAGCCAACATCCCAGAAGACAAGCTCAGGATTCAAAAAGATCTTGACAAACTTGAACAATGGGCCCTATCCAACAAAATGAGTTTCAATGTGGAGAAAAGCAAAGTACAGATTGGGCGAGACCTGGCTCAAAAACAGTAACTGTGAGAGGGACCTTGGAGTCCTAGTGGATGATCACTTAACTATGAGCCAGCAGTGTGCAACAGCAGCCAAAAAAGCTAATACAATCCTGGGTTGTATAAACAGAGGCATAAAATCAAGATCATACGAAGTATGAGTATTAGTACCGTTTTATAAAACCCTAGTAAGACCACACCTGGTTATCATACCACAAAAAAGATGTTCAGAGAAGAGCAACTAAGATGATTAAAGGCTTGGAGACTAAAACATATGAAGCACACCTGCAGGACTTGGGTTTGGCTAGTCTAAAAAAAAGAAGAAATAGGGGAGACATGATAGCAGTATTCCAGTATTTGAGGGTTGCCACAAAGAAGAGGGGGTCAAATTATTCTCCCAGGCACTAGAGGACAGGACAAGAAACAATGGTTGAAAACTGACCAAAGAGAAAAGCAACCTGGAATTAAGGAGAAACTTCCTAACAGTGAGGACAATTAACCAGTGGAATAACTTGCCTTTAGAAATCGTGGGCACCCCATTACTGGAGGTTTTTAAGAAGAGACTAGACTACACTTGGAATATTGCATCCAGTTTTGGTCACCACAATGTAAAAATGATGTTGAGATTCTAGAAAGAGTACAGAGAAGAGCAACAAAAATGATTAGGGGACTGGAAGTTAAAACATATAAGGAAAGGTTGCTGGAATTGGGTATGTCTAGTTTAAGGAAGAGAAGGACGAGGGGGGGACATGATAGCAGTGTTCCAATATCTCAGGGGCTGCCACAAAGAAGAGGGAGTCAAGCAATTCTCCAAAGCGCCTGAAGGCAGGACAAGAAGCAATGGATGGAAACTAATCAAGGAGAGAAGCAACCTAGAGCTAAGGAGAAATTTCCTGACAGTTAGAACAATTAACCAGTGGAACAACTTGCCTCCAGAAGCGGTGAATGCGCCAACACTGGAAGTTTTGAAGAAGAGACTGGACAGCCATTTGTCAGAAATGGTATAGGGTTTCCTGCCTGAGCAGGGGGTTGGACTAGCAGGGGGTTGGACTAAACAAGGTCCCTTACAACTTTATTATTATTATTATCATGGACTTGAAGTCCATGAGTCATAAAAGAGCCGAGGTTGCCAACTGCTGGTAAAGGTTTTTCTGCTTGAGCAGGGGGCTGGACTAGACGACCTCCAAGATCCCTTCCAGCTCTATTCTATTCTATTCTATTCTATTCTATTCTATTCTATTCTATTCTATTCTGTTCTGTTCTGTTTTCTATTCTGTTCTGTTTTCTGTTCTGTTCTCTATTCTATTCTATTCTATTCTGTTCTGTTCTGTTCTGTTTTCTATTCTGTTCTCTATTCTCTATATTCTATTCTATTCTGTTCTGTTCTGTTCTGTTTTCTATTCTATTCTGTTCTGTTTTCTGTTCTGTTCTGTTCTGTTCTCTATTCTATTCTATTCTATTCTATTCTATTCTATTCTATTCTATTCCTCTTTTGTCCTGCTATAGGATCTGCTCGAAGTGAAAAGTTCAATCTTCAGAGTTTTTCTCTGACTTCATTAGTACCCCAGGGATTTTCTCCTGCTTTCTGTAGTTCTCAGCTAGATGAAACAAAGAGCTGAATGACTCACCTGTAGTTTTTCCTGGCATCTTCCAAGCTTTCCGGCTTACAAAAATATCAGGATTCAGACTCTATGGAAAGAAAAGAGATTGGTATTACTCATTCCTGCACAGGAGTATAAATAACAATAATGTTACTGTAGAGAAGATACTTCCTTAAACTAAACTTCTTCAGTGTCTGCCCTCACCTGAGTCTTGAATACTGACTGGAATAACCAAAATTATGAGACTTGAAGTTTGAAGCCACGATTGATACATTTTAACTGAGCTGCTATTTTTTGAAATGCCTTAAAGGGCTGTTCCTTGAAGAACTTCAGTATTCAGGTCAGGCATATTTTCCCAATGGCAATAAAAATTAGGAACAATTTTACCTCGTGCAAATTAAGCTTCCCATTACTGTTCCTCATCTAGTCCTTTACAATGCAGAGACATGGACAGACTCTGGAGAGAACCAACCCTGAGCTTAAAGGGAAGAAGTCCTGCTAAATATCACACTACATGTTACAATTATGTCCAAACTTTTTCAACAGTTTCACAGAAACACTCAGTAATATGAAACATCAACTTTGCAGGACTTCCCAAGATGATTCTTAAGGGACCGAGAAGTCTCCCAATACTACCATCTGGATCACAAGTGTAGAATTGAAGCTACCACAGAAATATCAGTCAGAGGATACATAAAAAGCTAATGTAATGGTATGTGGGAATGACTTTAAGTGACAGGGGAATGATGCTGTTTAGGGAATGATCAGATAAAAGAAGGAGGAGCCCACAGCTGCTTAACAGTCAGAGAAAGAAAGTTAGGAAAGATCCAGCCTAAATTGACCAAGCTGTTAATTTTCATACTCTTACCTTTTCTCCAAGTATTCATCTACCTGAAAGAGTTCACACACCTGACCTTCCCATTCCAGTTTCCAGTTTCACCCTTGTGATGATCCTCTGAGTGAGATGGATTGCAGCTATTCCAAAGATCACTGAATGAAAATCGTGGGTGACTACAGACTACAGATGGATATGTAGCTGGCTGGCAAACTGTACTCAACTAGCAGTCCTCAATGGTGCTACATTCACATTGTTAGAAGTAAGCAGTGGAGTACCACAAGGTTCCATCTTAGGATCCAAAAAGATCTTGACAAACTTGAACAATGGGCCCTATCCAACAAAATGAGTTTCAATGTGGAGAAAAGGAAAGTTTTACATTTAGGCAGGAAAAATCAAAGGTACAAATACAGACAAGACCTGGCTCAAAAACAGTATATGTGAGAGGGACCTTGGAGTCCTAGTATGATCATGTGACTATAAGCCAGCAGTGTGCAGCAACAGCCAAAAAAGCTAATACAATCCTGGGTTGTATAAACAGAGGCATAGAATCAAGATCATACAAAGTATTAATAACACTTTATAAAACCCTAGTAAGACCACACCTGGAATACTACAATCATTTTTGGTCACCATACTACAAAAAAGATATTGAGACTTTGGAAAAAATTCAGAGAAAAGCAACTAAGATGATCACAGACTTGGAGATTAAAACATATGAAGAACAGCTGCAGGACTTGGGTTTAGCTAGTCTAAAGAAAAGAAGAAACAGGAGCGACATGGTAGCAGTATTCCAGTATTTGAGGGGCTGCCACAAAGAAGAGGGGGTCAAATTATTCTCCAAAGCACCAGAGGGCAGGACAAGAAACAATGGTTGGAAACTGACCAAAGAGAGAAGCAACCCGGAATTAAGGAGAAACTTCCTAACAGTGAGGACAATTAACCAGTGGAATAGCTTGACTTCAGAAATCGCTCCATCACTGGAGGTTTTTAAGAAGAGACTAGGCAGTCACTTGTCTCAAATGGTATAGATTCTCTTGCCTGAGCAGGGGGGTGGACTAGAAGACCTCCAAGGTCCCTTCCAGCTCTATTCTATTCTATTCTATTCTATTCTATTCTATTCTATTCTATTCTATTCTATTCTATTCTATATTGATGTTAGGCTGATTGTAGTTTCCTGGGTCTGTTTTTTTCCCCTTTTTTGAAGATGAGAACCACATCAGCTCTTTTCCAGGTAATTCCCCATAGTAGCTATGAAAGTCTCAGAATAGTTATGGGAAATATCTATAGCATGGAGATTGAATAATATGTATTTTACTGAAGTGGTTTAAGCATGTTCAACTACCAAAGCAGAACCGTAAAAGACAGACTAGGGATACAAGTTAAAATAGGCAAGAAAATGATAAGACAACATTTGTCCACCCAGTGGACTGGAAAAGGACTGATAGGATTCCCATCTTCAAAAAAGGGGGGAAATGGATCCAGGAAACTACTGACCAATCAGCCTGATATCAATACCTGGGAAGATCCTGAAAAAGATAAGCAACAAAATTGTAACACCTAGAAGAAAGCAAAGTTATAACCAGAAGCCAACATGGTTTTGTCAAACAAATCTTATTGAAAATAAAAGGAATGTAAAGTTTTATTTGATCAAAGTTAAAATAGATATCTTATTCCTGATAGCCCTTAATAAATTTTTTCTGACCAGGACTTAATGACAAGGTTTCATGGGTTTCTTTTTTTTTTAAATAAAGTTCTATTAACTTTTTTTATACAATTCGATAGTAATCATTCAACAAAACGTGTTGTCTGAGTATTAAAGGATTGAAAATAAAAGGTGAAACTTATAAGTTGCAAGCATTCGCAGATGATTTGGTATTCATTCTAAAGGAACCTTTAGAGACAATTCCCAAACTGTTGAAAAAGACAGAACTATTTGGAGAGATAGCAGGACTAAAGATAGAGAAAAAACCAAAGTGATAGTTAAAAATCTTACAAATAAGTATCTTATTCCTGGTAGCCCTTAATAGATATTTAATGACAAGGTTTGTGGGTTTCTTTATAGATAAAAGAGATGAGATACGGAAGAAGAGATCTTTGTTGAAATATAACAGAAGGCGATACGTTGACAATTGTTGATATTTGTCATGAAGGGGAAAGTCATTTATCTTTCCTTCCTTCCTTCCCTGCACTTTCTACTTCCTCTTTTTAGGGTCTCACCTTTTTAACTGTAGAGTTCAATAACATTATTAATAAAAGTTTCAAGGCCGATTTTTCCTCCACAGCCCAACAGCCACAAAGCGCTGTGGCTCTTGCTTCTTCTTCATGCCGCCCAGAAGATGAAAGTTATCACAAGACTAGAAAACACGCGTACTCACCAAAGTGCAATAAAATGGTCCTCGTAATCATCGCATGAC